GTATCACACAGTGAAACAGTATTGTATACTGTATTGTTTACACTGTATTGTATACAGTATACAATACTGTTTCACTGTGTGATACATTTAATAATCAAACTAATATGGAAGGTTGGAAAAGAGTTAAAGGTGATCAAATCAAAACCTAACATCATTCTGTGGAGTCCTTGATAGTTGGTTTGGGCCAAGTGTGGGGGTAGTTGCAGTTTGCCTGGTTGGGGTCCTCGGGAGGGGGTACTAAAAATCAATGACTGGAAACCTTTCCTATGGTGCAGATACATTCACTCTTTATTATAATACTCAATACTCAAGATCAGATGGCCGGCCAGAAAAGATCAGTAACAAAGATCTCTGGTAACGAGTGAACCAACCAGGAACCGATTGCGAAACAAATAGGCAGCAAGAAATGGAGATGGATTGGCCATACACTGAGGAAACCATCAAGTGACATCACTAGACAAGCCCTCGAGTGGAACCCGAAAGGCAAGCGGCGAGTTGGTCGTCAGTGCAAGGTTGACTTGAAGGAGGTCATGTGAGGAGGAGATGAAAGCATGTGGGCAGACTTGGAGCGGAGTGAAAAAGTTGGCAGAAAACAGAAGGCAATGGAGACGCTTGGCTGAAGCCCTATGTTCCTCTAGGAATTAAAGGATACAATAATAACAATAATTTATAATAATCGTCCAAATCCATTAAAGCCTCATGTTTTTCCAATTTGTTACTATTCTTTTCTCTACTTTTGTGTGGTACATGAATTGCTGCATGTTGAACTGATTCACACTTGTGTGCATAGTCGTCCTATAATGAAAATCAGTCGGTCAGTATATAAGTTTGTAGAAATCCACGAGAGAGAGAGAGAGAGAGAGAGTACAGAAAATAAGAAAATCCCCCCCTTCACAATTTTCTCAAAGGTTTGATAGATATCATATTGCCCCTGACAAATTTATTTCCACATTAGCTGTCCAATTAATGAGACAGGGCAAAAAATGTGACCCTTTATGCATTCATTATACAAAGTACTCTATATTTCTGTCAAATTTTAAGACACATCGATATGGGCGTTTTGCCGCTAACTTGTTCATACAATGAGATATAACGGACGATAACGTAAAGACAGGTATTGTTTTTAGTAGTAGTAAATTTGCCCTGAATAGAAGATGAAAAATCAGAAACCCCCCTCGTCCACGAATGGATACGTGTATTTTCCAACAAGGGAAATTAACTGTCACATAAGGGTGTGTGTGTGGAAAAGTACGAAAAAGTCTGAATTAACTGTACAATACAAAAGTATATAGAAAATAACTAACACACATGAACCAATCATAAGACGGATAGTAGAATTTTCTTACCACCAACTGGATTCTGATTGGTTGCAATGTCATGTGACCAAGGTCATACATTGTTTATTTAGTTAATAGACAGACAAGATGCATTGTGAGTAATAATGGAATAATGGATTAGTAGACACAGCAAAATATATCAGGCTGGGAAAAGAAGGCAGACATCATGTGACTATATATCAACAACCCAATAACTTACTTAAAATGGCTCATTTGAAAAGATTACTGCATAAATTGATTGCTGGGTTGTAACCAGAGTCACTTCATCCTAGTCATTGTCTGAAATCCATCGTCCAAGCAATGAATATAGCCATTGAGCCACATAATCTGATTTCGTAACAAATCATTTAAAAAAAAGGAACTAAGTTAATAATAATAAAACCCAATAATGCTTTTGAATACTAGCCAAAAAGACTGTATCTATGGCCTTGAGAAGATTCATGTTTCCATGATCGTGGGAAACCCCGTAGCATCACTGTGTGTGATAAAGTTAGTTTAAACTAGGGGCGAACAAGGTTTATTCGTAGGTCTGTTTTAGCTCTCATGAACATAAAGTGGCTGATGTTAATAAGCCATTTAAAGTTATCTACCGTATTCCGACTAATTATAATTGGGCCTTACGAGTTCGTCCTTGACATATAGCTAAAGTCGTAAGAATCCACCTGAAGAGAAGCCTAACTTATGTGTTCATTAACTAATTCGTTAAGACGTTTTCCTTACCTTGGCCATCATTATTTTTCATTGTTGAGATGAATATTCTTTCCTTCATCATGTTTTGTCTTCTAAGCGTTTAGATGAAAATTTTCGCTTCACGCATAAAACTCTCAGTGTTATTTATATTCCTACCTGTGGCATGTGCTACCGACAAGATTTATCAGTAGTGTATAAGGAGACTTTCGTCGGCACACAAAAATATCACATACTAGAGAGATAGATTTTACGTCGAAGAGAGGAAATGAACCAATAGTATAGAGAAGCATGGAAGACACGAAAATAGGACAGAGAAACACAAAACGAAGAACAGAAGTAGCGCACAATGCGGAAGATCCCAACCACTCTTTGTTCTTCCATGTTACTATTCTTTCCTTTTCCTCTCTTCTCTACTTTTGTGTGCTACATGGAGTGTGTCAAGTTGAGCCAGTGCATTTCGGTACAAAGTTCTTTTTTTGAAACTCAGTCATTATTAGGCAAAGATAAAAACGGATGAAGATGTCACAAAATCAGAATCGAAAAGGCAAGATGATACGCACGCCTTCATCAACCTGAAACCAGTTCGGAAATCTGCACTCAGCCAGCATAAAAAGCAAGATTCGGATTTTCAACACTAATGTCAAGTCGCTCCTTCTACATGTGCCAGAAACCTGACCCAGTGTGCTACGAAAAGGATTTCCAACAGCTGCCATCTTCGTTGGCTGGCTCCATACTGAAGATCAAAATGGCTAGCCAGCTGGTCAAAAAGAATTAGCAAAAAAGAAACTCTGTCTGGGAAAAAACCATCCAAGAGCCGGTCGGTCAACAAATATGCAGGAGAAAACGGAGATGGATCGAATTTACATTGAGTAGACCGTCGAATGACATCGCGCGTAATACAGGCCATCGCTCGAGTGGAATTCCAATGGGAAACGACGAGTGTGTGTCGTCAGTGCGAGGGTGACATGGGCGAGATGAGCGATTGTGGTTAACCGTGGACCAGCTGAAGAGGATTACGGAAAATAGAAGAAAGCGAAGATGTGTCATTGAGGCGGTATGTTCCACTCGGAACCCAAGGGAACAATGATATAAAAATGATAAGAATTTCTTGATTTTAACTAACTGGAAATCTCTATAACGTACACAATGATAATCTCTCTTTCCTACCAGTAGACACTGAAAGAAGAATTATATGGTAGGCTCTATGAGTCCTTCTACATTCTAATGTCCCATACTATATTTGACCAGCAAACAAAATGAAACATTGAAGCTATTCATACAGACTGACTAAGTTTCAGCACGGAACCTTGCACTGAAGTTCACCAATTCAACTAGCCACCACACAACATATAACACACAAAGATAGAGGAAAGGGAAAAAAAATTAATTCAAACAAGCTATAACGGGGTTGAAATATATACGGGAAGAAAAATAACCAGCATAGCAGAACATAAGGATTTAAAAAGATCTGGTAAACTACAAAGAGTGGCTAGCCATGAGTAACGTGTGTATTAGCCATGTCAATTTATGCTGCTTCACAATCTTATCAATTGAATTTCTCTCCTTACCTAACACACTTTACGCCTAACCTCAATATTATTCACCCTAGTATACCTGACTGATTGACTGGCTAGATTCAACATAGAACTTTGCAAAGATGTGCAGCCGTTTGAGTTGCCACACTCCTTCCTTGTAGCATAGATCAAAAGAAGAAAGTATGGGGAGATTCAAAATACAGATGATAAAAAGAAGTGTGAGTGAGGTAGAAAGAATAGTAATATGGAAGAACGATAGAGCTTCATTGGATGTGAAAAATCACAAAGAGTGAATCCATCTGCTCCAGCCATTGACAACTACTTTGAGCCATATCGCCTCCAGCCTTCATTGTTTCTTACCATCCCGAGGACCCCAGCCGGACAGTCTCCCTACGTGTTTGGCGTGAGCTGACTGTTATAGATTAAGTTGAGTGATGAAGCCATGTTTTGGTTTGACCACCACTAGCTCAGGTAGGGAGATGCAGACTCCGGGTTGGGGCCCTCGGGACTGACTCTAGGAATCAATGGCTGGAGACAATAGGTGACATGGCTGAAAATCGTTGTCAATGCCTAGCGCAGATGTATTCAGTCTCTGTAATCTTTCATATTCCTTTCTACCATTACCCATTCTGTTTCACTCTTATACTTGTCAAACTCTATTGATTCCTTTCACTCATCTTCTTGTCTACTTTTGTGTGCTATTTGGAACGTGGGAACTCGAACTGGTGCACTTGGGTGCCAAGTTCTATGTTGAATCCAGACAGACAGACAGCTCTTTTCCAACCTTATCAATCACTTGTCAGCTAACATTGCCCCTGCCCGTCGAAGAGGGCAATAGCTAGGCATGCCTACGTAACATATGTCTTAACTATCCTAATCGATGTAACTTCACAGCCTCGTCAATTGATTTCCCCTCCTTATCTAGCACTAGAATGACGCCGAACCTCAATAGTGTTCACCTTATTACGCTGCCTTACACAGGATATAGATAGAACACAGGCACCTATGATCCAAGACATCTAACCAGGCTTTTGATGTCTTCCACTTTCGATTGGTATTTTTCGTAGCCATAAATGATGACGGAGAGAAATGCTGATCAGTACACACATCCTTTGGTCGACAGCCCACCGGATATCCCGTTTACTGAGCTAGAGATGGCGGAAGTTGGCAGGAAAATGCCAAACGAGCCTTCTGTATCCTTTGCTAAAATCTCGTCAGTGATCATCCCATTGGCATTAAGCTGATGCAACTTCCTAAATAAGTGAAATGGCTACTTAACACAGGATATAGAACGCAAAGATCTGTAGTGAAAGACAGTTATACTCCTCAATATTATTCATGAATATCGATTAGATTTCCATTTCCTTCACCTGTTTGTTTCTTTATTCAAAACTTAAAATACTTCTTGTGTTTTCTTGCTTCCTTTTTGTTTATGCAGTCAATTGTTATCACAAACCCTCAGTCGTACAGAACCCTATTTCTATCGTCCAGGGGCATTTAGTCGGCCAGGATCTATCGGTTTAGGTAAAATTGACTGTTTACTCATACAAGATCGACGTGATCGTGTTTATAAATTTGATCCAATTTTAAATTCATGGATACGTACAATTGATGGATTAAAAAATTTAAATTTTACTAAGCATTGGTTATTCGAGAGTAAAAAACTTCCTCATCTGCCAACACGTCTCCTGATATTGACTACGGATTTTGAAGTGTACACCTTTCAAATATGCTATACAAAAAAGGTGTCTACAATGCCGACAACAACAGCGACAGCGTCAGCAACACCATTTGACTGTAACAAATTACGTAAGAATATGAAAGAAAATGTCAAATTATTTATTAATTTATTCACATCAAGAATCTCACATATTCGTCGATCATCTGGTATGGTATTGGCTGATGAATATGCTGCTAACTGTGATCTGAATACAACACCAATTGATCAGAATTATTCTCATGATCAACCGGTGACGACTACCTGTGAAATGGTGATACAAGGATCTGTAAATATTTTTCAAAATTGGAATTATTTAAATGAAACATTAGATAGTGATAATAATAACAATAATAATAATAATACCTTAGTAAGTCAATTCTTTAAACGTGTGCCATTATATTATTATTATTATTACTAATAAAAGTGATTTAGGTTCTGAGTAGGACGATAGCACTTCACTCTACGATTTCCTCTTAAACTCTCATTTCATCCCTACATGGTCTCCTCACTCGGATTCACGCCCAACTTGTTGTTTTGCATTCAGGTTCTACTCGAGGGCTTGGCACTTGATCTCACTCAATGGGCTTTTCAGTGTATCTTGAATCCACCTCCCCTTTCTTGTACATATTTTTTGGGCGATATGTTTTTGCTTCGTTCGTTCCACTGCAGAGTTCTTAGTTGCTTCAATATAGGTGAGATTTTATTTTGATAAATCACACACAGTCCACGTTTCGAGCACAAATTTCTGCCGCTCATAAACATATCAAGTCACTCACTCACACAACTTGTTAGTTGCTTCATTTATATACATGAGTGAAATTGATAATTAGACATTTGAATAAAAATCAACCAATATAGGATAATGTACATTCAGAAATAATAATAATGTAAGTGTTATTGATCAAATACACTCAGACGGGAAATAAGACGAGTGTTTTTATAGTCAAAATAAATAAGTAACTTGTTAGAATGTTGTGATGTACTTGGATTGAAATAGAATTTTGAGATTATTTATTATCCTCCTCTGATTTGGTTGACTGACTCTAGTGGTGATGATATCTTCCATGCATATCTCTGATATTTGCATTGAGTCATTTCTGTTACATGTGTTGTGTTGAGTGTAGACTGCATGAACCAGGCAGGATTCAGTAATCAATCTCTCTCTCCACCTACTTGTATTATCTTCTTAGAATTTTAACCCTCTCCCACCCATCCTTTTGTGTGATTGTGTAATAATGCATCCAGTGCAATTCATTGCTGAGCTTTTTTCTAAATTACTTATCTTCTCGGGGTCAACCATTCTTACCTTAGCTAAATTCTCATGTTCCGACAATCTGACTACCCCGGACCTACTAGTTTGACCTATGCAGTTGACCTCACTCACAGTCATTGCAAGGTATTTTGTAAATTATATTATTTGTCCAACTGGGTTCACCGAGTCCTTTAACCTACAGAGCTTGTCGCTGAGTGAGTTTGTAGGTTTAAATGCCACCCTAATTCCTGCTTTATTAAGAATCCTACGTAGAGTCTCAGACGTCACCTTATCCTATATTTATTTCTATTCAAATGTTTCATCATTAGTTCCACTCATGTATATAAATGAAGCAAAAAGTGGTGTGAGTGAGTGACTTGATGTGATTATGGCCAGCAATAGTTTGCGCTCGAAATGTGGACACTAGTTAATATTACTGCATAATACTGTGTGTGGAGTTATACTCTACTAGAGAGTCTTCTGAACACCTTGAGCAGCAATCTTCGTATGTTTGGCATGCGATTCGCCCTCCAAAATGTAAGATGCTGCTACAGGACTGGACCACGTCAACTCCTAGCTTAGTGATAGGGAGTGAAGTGATAGAACATGTTGACCACTTCACCTACTTGGGAAGTTGTATTAGCACCAACGGACTGATTGTCGACGAAATCTCAGCAAGGATCCAGAAAGCTCGAGCTGCTTTTGCTGACTTACACCATCTCTGGCGTAGGCGTGACATCCGGTTATCAACCAAGGGACGAGTGTACTGCTCAACAGTTCGCTCCGTCCTTCTCTATGGCTCTGAAACATGACCAATACGCGTTGAAGACATGAAAAGGTTAACTTCTTTCGATCATAGATGTCTGCAATCCCTGTCTCACGTTAGGTGGTTTAACAAGGTAAGTAATGTTGACGTTCGGCGTAGAGTGTTGGGCAAATAGGGAAAATCAATCGACGAGGCTATAAAGTTACATAGATTGAGATGGCTAGGTCACGTGGTGCGCATGCCTAACCATCGCCTCCCCCGACGGGAATTACTAGCTGATATAGATGCAGGTTGGAAAAGGGTAAGTGGTGGCCAAACAAAAACATAGCCTCATCAATCCATGAAATCCTTGACAGTTAAACTGAGTCGGTCAGGTAGGGAGATGCAGACTTCCGGGTTGGGGCCCTCGGGACTCTAGGAATCAATGGCTGGAGACAATAGGTGACATGGCTCAAAATCGTTGTCAATGCCTAGCGCAGATGTATTCAGTCTCTGTAATCTCTCATATTCCTTTCTACCATTACCCATTCTGTTTCACTCTTATACTTGTGAAACTCTATTGATTCTCTTCACTCATCTTCTTGTCTACCTCTGTGTGCTATTTGGAACGTGGGAACTCGAACTGGTGCACTTGGGTGCCAAGTTCTATGTTGAATCCAGACAGATACTCTACTAGCACAGTTCCCAAGTTTTATACTTATATTAATAATTCCTATTTGCCTATTCTTCCTGTTGGTAAAATTCTGCAAATTGGCGTTGCAAATGCTCTTTGTGACTCCCGTGCCAAGTTTCTGAATCATATAGAAGGAGTGACTTAACATTGGTGTTGAAAATCCGAATCTTGTTTTGATTTTTTATCACCACTAGCTCTATTCCAACCTCATCAATCCTATGTCAGCCAACACTGCCCAGCCTGTCGAGGTAGACGATGGCTAGGGATACATGCTCAATGCATGTCCTAACCATCTCATTCGATGTAACTAAACAACCTTGTCGATTGATGCCTAACCTCAGTATCGCTCACCCTATTATGCCACCTAACACGGAAAGCCAGAACAAAGACACCTATGATTGAAGACAGCCAGCCAGGCTTTTCATGTCTTCCATTTTCAACTGGCATGTTTCACAACCATAAAGGATGATGCAGTGAACTGTTGAGCAGTACACACGTCATTCGGTCGACAGCCAACTAGTCGGAGATCACGTCTACTAAGTCAGATATGGCGTAATTTCGCATATGCTAAATGCGCCTTCTGTATCCTTTACTGAGATTTCGTCAGCGATTAAACCGTTGGCACTGGCTAATGCAACTTCCCCAAAGGAGTGAAGTGGTCGACGTGCTCTACCACAACACCTGTCTATCTTTACGCTAGCAGTTATTCGATGTAGTCCAGTCCTCCTACCACATCATCTTACATTTGAGAGGAGTGAGTCGCATGCAGAACATACGCAGCTATCTAAGGCGTTTTCAAAGACTATGAAGTCGAGGTAGAGAGTTGACTTCCAGTCTATGCTTTGTTCGATAATGAGTTATAACTCTTCAGTATTATCTAGAATGTGGTTTTCTTAGTTATATATATATATATACGTTGTAAAAGTAAGCTCAACATGTGATTGTCCTCTCATTGTACAGTCTACCATAAGTGTCACCAGCTATCCTGCGTCATAGTTTGCAGTATTCTGCAGGATAGGAAGTTCCCAGCTGACACGGTCTGAATTTAGTAATTTCATTTAGATGTATGTATCAATCAACCTACTCATCTATCTATTTCTCTTATGCATCACCTATTCAGGTTCAGTAAAGGTGTATTCAATGCTGAACGGTTGTTGTATATATTGTAGATCATGCTGTGAAATGACACGCACACAAAAAAGACATTTTGAGTTAAAATACCATTTGACTACTAGGTGAGTAGTAGCAGTAGTACGATTAGATATCACTATAAGAAAGCGGTTACATCATGCGACACACACCTGCATTTGTCTGTCAGCAAGATTGATGCTTCTTTCATGCAACTAGCTATACTGCTGAGTATAATGATGTGTTCTTCATTTATAAGATAATTAAAAATATAAGGCAGTTTAAAAAATAAATTCTCAGCTCAGCAAGATTTTTTGTATAGAATTACTTTTACTTTATTTATTTTTTAAAAATTTAATTTAAAATTGAAATATTTCACAATTATTTAGCGTTAGAATTTATGTAACACATAACGCGAACTTCGTCATCTTGCGTTATCAGTTAAAGAAACGTTTTGAAAACTGAGGAGTACACTAGACAGTTTTCTCTTCTAATGAAGGCATTTTGGAAATGAGCACCCATTCACCCACCCCCGAGCACTGCCAGTTTTCTTAATGTGAAAGAGAGGGAAAAAACATGTATTCAGTACGCTTCAATTTCCACTGGTTCTCCGGCTGTTACGAGTTTTCTGAAAACATTATATGCGAGATTAATCAAGTTTTTGCTTATATATATAACGGTGTGACTTTGGTTAGGTGGTGGGAACGCTTACCAACCACGCCACACGTGGTCCGTGTTCGATTCCCAACCGACGCACTCCCAAATTTCGATTGGTTGGTAATGAGCCTGGAAAAAAGGGAAGTTTGAACGTGAGGCTACCAATGGCATCCCGTAAAAAAACACTACTGCCACTTAAACTTTAGTGCTCCAGCTTGAAGCCCTATGTCCCATCCACTAGGAACACAAAGGAATAAAATTATATTTTGATAAAGAAAGTAAGACCAAATTTGCAGTAGTATAGATGACATCATCATCCTGTTTTGACAGGTTCTCATCATCTGTAGACTGCCTGAAATTACAATGGTTATATATAGATGATAATAACATACTTTAATGTTTGAGTGGTATTCAAAGTAGAAAATAGGGGGAGAGGGGCAAGACAGAAAACAGAAGAAATTAACAAATCGTGTTGGTTTGTAGGTTTATACAGCAACTCAAATAAAACAAAAGCGGTTACACTTTATGAGATTGAGATTTGCCCAGTGAGTTGCGATCACTGAATTAGATTACTAATTCTGTCTCTGTCTGGATTCAACATAGAACTTGGCACCGAAGTGCACCAGTTCGAGTTCCCACGTTCCAAATAGCACACAGAGGTAGACAAGAAGATGAGTGAAGAGAATCAATAGAGTTTGACAAGTATAAGAGTGAAACAGAATGGGTAATGGTAGAAAGGAATATGAAAGATTACAGAGACTGAATACATCTGCGCTAGGCATTGACAACGATTTTGAGCCATGTCACCTATTGTCTCCAGCCATTGATTCCTAGAGTCCCGAGGGCCCCAACCCGGAAGTCTGCATCTCCCTACCTGACCGACTCAGTTTA